AACTTTTTATTCTCATTTTTGATCTATTATTAGAAGTACCAAATGTGTCAAAATACATTCTACGACTATTTTTAAATAAATAAAAGATCTGATTTCAATCCGAAAAAAAAGCTGCCTTCGAACCATATATCATCCTCTAAAAATAAATTACTTTTCAAAAAGAAATAATCTTCAATTCTCATGACATTTAAGAAAACAGTATTTATGAACTATTCTACATCTCAACAGTAACATGATTTCAACCATAATTAGTGGATCTTTGTTTAGTTACTATGTATGAAAACCTCGAACAATTGAGAACACAAACTCTACATCAGGCTAGATTATTATTTAGAGCTAAAACTAATATCAGTTGTCAGTGACGTATCCCGGATTCTCAGTATGCTGAATCTCGACTTCCCAGCACGGGACCCAGATGAAACTCATGGAGGGTGATGTTGGATCCAAATAATGGAATTTTATCAAAAAAAATTTACACTCGGAGTTTGCGAAAAAAAATTAGCATTTTCCTGATCCCCTCTTCGAGGATTTTTTGCTGTTAGTAGTAGCATGGTTTTTAGAATTTCATAGGAAGCTACATCGAATTTCATCGATAGATTTCAAATTTCGTCTGAAAATATGCAACCGTTCAAGAGTTATAACGATTTGAAATTTTGCAAAAATTGTTTTCACATGTAGCAAAAACTCAAAAAGTTATAACTCTTGAACGGTTGCATATTTTCAGACGACATTTGAAATCTATCGATGAAATTCGGTGTAGCTTCCTATGAAATTCTAAAAACCATGATACTACTAACAGCAAAAAATCCTCGAGGGAGGAATCAGGAAAATGCTAATTTTTTTCGCAAACTTCGAGTGTAAATTTTTTTTGATAAAATTCCATTATTTGGATCCAACATCACCCTCCATGAGTTTCATCTGGGTCCCGTGCCCAGAAATTGAGATTCAGCCTACTGAAAAATCCTGGATGCGTCACTGTCAGTTGTAGGAAAAATATCGAACGATAGCATTCCTGTATACCGAACGTTTCTTCTATAAACTTTTTATTTTGTTTCATGATTTATTTCTATATGAATTAATTTTACTTACTACAGGTGCTTCAGGTGGTGCAATACGTAAACCTTGACTCATAATACCAGCAAAATTAGTTAAACGTGAACCATGCCTAATATATATATATATAAAATATGATTGAATATTCAGAAAACCAAAAAAAGAAAAAATGTTTATCCTATACCAAAGAAGCATTTTATTTCCAACATCTTTAAATATTTCATTTTCATTTTCTCTTTCAACTTTAAATATATATTCTATTTCCATTTTATATTGTTGATGTGTTGATGCATGTGTTGTTTGAAGATATTTATTAATTAATATATATATATCTTCATGTTTTTCAATAGGATATAATTTACATTTTAATTGTTCATAATGTTGATCAATTGGATTTAAACGTATATTTCTATCTATATTTAATGTTGTAAATGCTATTTCAATATCATCAAGTGCTTCAAGTAATTCAATTTCATGTTTTAATTGTTGAATAGTTTTTATTAATGGTGGTGTATTTCGACCAAATTCATGTGGAACTAAAAATTAAAAAAGAATAATAGAAAAAAAAGTCTGTTATAGATATACTTCGAGTATAATAAGTATTATTTGCTTCAATAAATGCAGAATTAAATTTATTTATTTTAATATATGTTTCAATTTCTTTTAATGCTGCATAACCTGCTTTAATTTGTGTTGAACTTAATTTACCTAAAAAAAAGAATTAAAATTCATTAAATAAATAAAAACTTTTTTTTTTTTTTCTTCTACCAAGAGGATTTTTTCTTGCATCAAATTTCATTTCAAGTAATGCTTCTTCCATAGCTTGTATATTACATATTAATTGAATAAGATTTTGTATACGTTTATCAAGTTTTGATTCTGGTATAGGTAAATTTTTTAATTGTTCAATAGTTACGAGTTGTTTTTTATTATTTTCATCAACTTTTTCAGATTTCTATATCAATAAAAAAAAATAATATTTATTATTCAATAAGATAACAATATTCAATTGTTAGATATCCATTCTGTACTATCAAAACCGATCAGATATCTTAGATACTTGATATATCAAAAATTTAAACTGAAATAATTAGAATATTTCAATAGTCTTACCGATGGATTATAATCAAGTTGAACATAATCATATTTTCCAGGATATTTTGTAAATGTATCACGATAATAAAAATCATTTTTTGTTTTATCACTAAATCTAATATATATATAATTGAAAATTAGTTTTTGATATTAAAAATTAATTATCTTTTAAATAACAACTATAATATTTTATAATTCAATCAAATTTGAATTAATAACTTTCTACCTTTTATGGGTTTCTTAATTATATCTATGTATAATCTAACGGGTTAGCTATAATAAATTGAACTAATGGTAAATACATACAAGATGTTAGTTTATCAAATAAAAGATAGAAAATTTCAAGCTTTAAAAAATAAAATTTATTCGACTGTGACACTTCGATGTTCGTATTTTTTAAAACTATGAAGGATCTCGAAAGCAAAAAGTTTTTTATATAGGATGCCCCGAAAGTTATTAGAGTTAGAAAAACTTAAGTATCTCCGCTACGGCTCGAGCAACCGGACTGACATACTATAGATACCGACAAAGTTAGAAAGAACCTATGTAATGAATTAGTTATTTTATCAATGATAGAGACATGTCTAGACAGATCCTTTGTTAAGTAGATTTTTGTTCCTATTTGTGAAAAATTAAAATTTTTCTTTTTTTTGTTAACGTCATTGATTCTATTTAACAAAGCTTCCGTATTGTAGATACTTAAGTTTTGGAATATTCTAAGATTTCCTCCGAACTTGAAAATAACTTTCATGATAATTTTTTTAAATAATGACATTTTCTTTTTTTGAGTTTAATTTCAAATACAATTGCCGAAATTCATAAAACACTTTTGGGTCGTAAATTTGTCCATGAAATTTAAAAAAAATAGATGATTTCATCGAGAATTCTTTTTCATTCCGCAATAAGGATATGCTATAGTTTTGCAGGACTTTTGGATATACTTTTGAAATTCTTCATCTTTGATATATAAATGAAGATTTTATATCAATAGTAAATAATTGAAACAAACAAAAAAAAACAAATTGTCAGATATTCATCTCATATTAAACTAATTGCAAATCATTTTTCAAAATTTACATACTTTTGACAGAAAAATCTTTTTGCTTCATCTAAATCACAACCAAAATGTTCTAAATTATTTTGTCCAGTATATCCAACTCGTCCCCTTTAAAAACATATAAATAAATAAATCAAAGTAAAATAAAATAAAATATTTTTACCAACGTAACCAAACATAATATTTTTTACTATGATTTTCTTCAAGTAATTGAATTAAATAAAATTTATTATTATTATTTCCAACATTTGTCTAAAAACAAAAACAAACATACTTTTATTATCAAATTATTTCCTAAGTTTTACTATACTTGATTAAGCATACAATCAAATACATCATTATTTTCATAATAAACATGAACTTTTCCTAACATTGATACACATTCAGAATCAACAGGAACTTTTCCAACAACTGTTGTTACAGTACGTACTAGAACAGAAAAAACAATATTATTTTAAATCTTCATCCTTTCACAATCGATTTTCGATTAAGGAGTGTGTACTATGTACAAGTAAAAACAAAAAAATCATTGAAATCGAAAGGAAGCAGCTGAAGAGATTTCTTCGTAATAATTCAACTTACTTGCACTTTTCTCTATTGGAGTAGATTTTGATATGTTACGTTTTTTCTTATTATTTTCTTTACTCTCATCATTATCTAATGGTCGTTTATTTGATATTGTTGAAACATTTAATGGTAATTTTGCCACTAGATAAAGACAAAAAAAAATAATAAAATTAAAATTAAAGAAAAATAAAATTAACAAACTTGATTTAATACAATGTATTTTTCGAATAACTTTTGTATTTAGATTTATTTCAATTAATTTATCAAGATCGATATCATATGATTGATTTTGATAATTAATTGATAATAATGTTTGATTATTTTCAATAGTATTTGCAATTTTAATCATTATTTCAACATTATAAATAAACCATTTTTTATTTTCATTTTCATATTCATATGTAAAAAAACCATTTTTATCTTTTAATTCAATACAAATACGTATACGACGCATAAATTTTGTTTTTTGATTTATTTGTACCATATCATGAAATTTAATTAATAAACTTATCTCTTCTGTTTGATTAATAATAACCTTCCGAAAAGAAAAAAAACAAAACAATATTATCAAACAAAAAAAGTAAAATTTATTATTTACTTCACTATTGCCATTATCATATGCTTGAGAAATTTTCTGTTGAATATCTAATGAATGTTGTTGCCAAACACCTTTATCTCCTTCCCATTCCCATTGAACAGATAAATTTGAAAGTTTAGTAATATTACTATCGGATGTCATTGAATCAATCTATAGAAATAAATAATAAATTCAAAGTATGATGATCAAATGAATTCTATTCGTCGAATACTACAACAATTTTGGCTATATATAAAAGATCATAACAATGACTTTGTTCCAAACGAAGTCTACAATATGATTTTGATTTGTTGCCGCAAAAAAAATGAATTTCTAACTGGTTAATATCTATTGTTTATGTACATCATAGATGAGTGACATCTTTTATTAAAAACTAAAAGATTTTAAAGTTTTATTAAATTTTTTTTTAACTTAAAATAACTAATTTATTCATTATTGATTAATGAGTTTAATATTTAATATAAGATTAAATGGTATTCAAGATACCTCTAACAAAACGTCATTTGAAATGAATATTGTTTCAAAATAGTCATAATGGTATGTTCGAAAGAATAAAAGCAAACAAAACCGATCAATTTTTATGACAATTTTGAGTTCTTATAAAGTAATATTATTTTAGATCTTTAAATCATGATGCATAGTAATTCTGATAATTCTATTGAACCTTTTAATTCTTCACAACGAACTCATCGAAGTCAAAGTGCAGTAAGATATAAAAGCTTTAGTGTTTTTCTTTTTTGGTTATAAAATTAGTTTATTTTATTCATAGATTCAAGCTCATCGTGGTGATGTACCAAGTAAACATGATGAATATTTAATTCAATTACAAGAACGAAATCGTTTACTTAAAGCATATCATAATCAACATCAACCAAAAGATAGTAATTTAAAAAAACGAGAAACCGGTTTTCAATTATATTTAAATGGAGCACATAGTGTACGACAACGACGACCACCATCAATAATAAGTAAAATAATAATAATAATAGATAATAATTCATGATTATTTTTTAGATACACCATCAAATCGAACTATAACACCTTCACCATATTTTTCTGATTTTTCATTTCCAACACCATCAAATACAACACAACAAAATAATTCATTACCATCAAATGGTCGTCGTCGATGGATACCATCGACAAAAACAAAAATTAAAACCGCTGATGGTTCTATTATTGCTGATATTGATCAAAATTCTATATCTAATCATACTTCACATATGCCACATTCAAAATCTTTATTTAATAATAAACAATCTCAACAAATATCATCAAAACGTGCAGTACAATCAGCTGGAACACCCAGTCAAGCATTACCAAAATCAGCATGGAATAATCATGTTATTGAATTAGATGCTAGTCAAATAAAATCAAATGGTTTAAATGATCAAATATCATTTTGTAAAATGAAACCAGAAAATATTGATCAAAGTTGGATGCCAAATTGGTTTTCTAATAAGAAACCGAATGAAGATGAAATTCAAGGTAAATCTTTTTCTTTTTTTAATAAAAGATCAAGATGAACAAGGTCATTTTTACGCTTCAAATTGAGTTGACGCCATTTTTTTTATCGATTTGTAGTAAGGCATGATGCCTGAACATATAATACAGGTTAGTTTTTGTACAAAATGAGTCAATCGCTTTCGAATCGGGACTATGTGCATCATGTAGGTCCTAGTGACTATAAATATCCTGAAAAGAGTTCGAGTCTCATATCTTATTACTGCCGAGATATTGCATTTTTAGGGTATTTTTTCGCTCAAGCCCGTGGAGTTTCAAATTTCGACTTGAAACTTTGCATAGAGACAAATCTTAGTGAGAATAGTTTATTTTGAAAGCTTCAGATCTTTTCGTTGTTCCTATTCTAAAATATGGCTATAGTAACAACATGTTGTTCGCATCCCTGATATACTAGTATTTTCCGATGTTCTTATTTCAGAATAGGAGTAATGGAAAATGTTGAAACTTTCACAATACATTATTCATACTAAGACCTGTCTCTGTACAAAACTTTCAAGTCGAAATTTGAAACTCTGTTTTTCTGGTGTTTCTGAGAAGAACCACGGAATTCAGCGAAAAAAATACTCTAAAAATGCAATATCTCGGCAGTAATAAGATATGGGACTCGAACCCTTTTCCAGATATTTATAGCTCACTAGGTCCTACATGATGCACATAATCCCGACTCAAAAACGATTAATCAGTTATGTGTGGTCCTTCGTTAGTCAAATATGAACTATAGAGGTTTGTTGGTAGATTGATCGACTATAAGAGCTAAGGGCTGGTGCTCTTCGTCACCGGCATGTTCTATCGTTTATTGGGTCCAAAGAGACGCCAAAATATGCTGCGGATGTCGTGAAAATCCAGTTCAATATTGTATTTAACACATCAATTAATGTTTACACACAATCCTCTAATATACCGAATCGAAAATCCATTTCTATGATTATCAGTTTAGATAATTCAATAGCTGACATAGAGAGTCGAAAATTATGTATGCATTTCTTCTTGACTTCTATTAGAAGATTTTGATTGGCAATATTTTATAATTCATATTCAAATAAATAACAGTATTTTAGCTGTAAAGCATATTTTTGAAGTACCTAGATTAAACAAATTAGTCTACTCATGAGTGAAAGAACTATGAAAACCTCGATTTTTCAAAGCTCCTCTCAAAATGTTTTTAAGTCATTCTGTATACTTCAACGAATAGAAAAATTAATCTATGTGTAATATCATCAAACATCATGTCACACAGTAAATCGATAAAAAGTAGAGCTGATTTTTTTCAATGCAAAAAAAAAAAAGAATGACCTTATTCATGCTTTCACCTAAAAATAAAAGAAGAAATATTATATATTTTGTTTTTCTTTTCAGATTATGATTCCGATTTTGAAGAAACTTCAGATTCAGATGATGATGATAATCATCAATTATTAAATCATGTTTGTAAGTTGATATTTTTATCATTCAAATTATGATAGTAGAAAAACAAAAACAAAAAAAAAATTTTTTGTTTTTCAGCTTTATCTTTCGATGATATCCCATCAATAGTTGAATTAGTAAGTCAAAAAAAAGAATAGTGACGAAAGCAAAAGAAAAAACTAATCATAGATTAATCTTTAGTCTATAATTCCTGAACAAAACAATGATAAGAAAAATAAATCTCAAGAACAAACTTCTTTTGAATCACCATCGGTCGGTAGGTAAGATAAAAAAAAGAATTTCTTTTTTTTATTTTATTTTTTTTTACTAACGACAACTACGTTGTTAAGAAGAAGGCAACTTAGCAACTTCTATAAAAAGAAAAAAAAAGGTAGAACCAAAAAAAGAAAAAGAAAAAAGAAGACAAGTATTCTTAAAGTAATATAATGGTGAATTTAATTTTTGTGCACATACTGTTTTTTTATTGATTGTTAGTTGAAAAAATATATTACACACGTATTGTTTTCTTATTATTATATATTTAACTAAAAATGAGTCGTCGAAATATATCAAAAACTCCTATTCCAAGTTGTTATAATGTATCAAGATCAGGAGATAATCGATCGGGTAATAGTTTTTTGCTCTTTGTTCAAAACAAAAAAAAAAAAAAATTTTCTTTCAATTTCAATGAATAATATATCAACAGATTAGACAATAACAAATACTAAACATTTTTTAGAAAGTAAACGAATTTATAATTAAATATTTTGTAAACGTTATTCTTTTCCTGTTTTTTTTTTTGGTATATTATTAAAATTTTTTAAGAAAAAAAACATGCAGGATGACTTTGAAAAGAAAAAAAAAATAATTTTGTTTTTCTTAACTGCATACAAATGTTTTTCTTATAGAGATCATTGTAGGAAAGAAATACTTGATGTTGTAATTACTTTTGTTTTTTTTTTTTCTTAATATAAATTGTTACGAGTATTTATTTGAATATAGGAGCACGACTTGTCGGAGGCGATCCAATCAAGAATAGTAATAATCAACAATTACTTGTCGTTGGAACAAGACAAAAAGCAAGAGTAATTGATAGTCTTGATCTTGAAAATTTTTTACATCCAAAGTATGATGTTTTTTTTTGGTGTAGATATAAATGAGATATAATTATTATTGTGTGTATATAGAGAAGTTCATATTGATACAGAAATTGATGATCGAAAATCACCGGGTTTACAACAAATATCAAATAGACGAAGTCCATTTCGTGATCCAAGTTCCAACGGTAAAATTTCAGCAATTAGACATTTGAAAAATATCTTTTATTTGTCATAGTTGGATAGATCTTATTGAGTTATCTTTACAAATAATTGTTTTTCGTATATCCGAATAATACGCTTTGTAGTAAAAATTAGATCTCACAGAAAAGCATCAAGCGTCAATAGTTTCAATATTTTCTTTTAATTGAATTCATCATATTATTAGGAACCAAATTTCAGACATATTGTATTGTTGAGAAAATCGATTTTTTTTTCGATATGATAATAGTACGCGATTTATTGAAGAGTAAATTCAATTTTACTACAAAAGTATATTAACTCGATGAAATCTTACCAATTATGACAAAAAATAAGAAATAATCAGCTTCTTAACTAAACTTTATCATATCATGCAAAATAGACTGTCGTACACCAAATACCGATCGGCTTGAAAACTCCATAACTCAAATTGATCTGTTCAGTCGAAGGCATCGTGGGATGTTTGAAAGTATTTTTAAAAAAAAAAGTAATCTTTCTAATTGAAACATTTAATTTTTTCTTTTTTTTATCAGCTGAACGCATAGAAGAATATTTTACTAATAGTACATCAAAATTCGAAAATGACAATGATGAAGAACAGTAAAATTATATTTTATTTTCTATAAATAAAAAAATAAAAATTGAAATTCTTTTAGATTTACAATACCTGAATTACCTAGTGGTGAACAATTAGTTTTAAATTTAAAAACAACATGGGGTGATCGTCATTATATTGGTTTAAATGCTATTGAAATATTTTCTAGTCAAGGTTATCCAGTTGTAATTCGAAAAGTATGATATATATTTTTTTTTGTTCTCGAAAATTAATTAAAACAAAAAAAAAAGTAAATAGAATTAATCATTTCATTTTGATAGATAACAGCAGATCCAGCAGATATAAATGTCTTACCTGAATATGGTAATGATCCACGTGTTGTAACTAATTTAATTGATGGAGTTAATAAAACTCGTGATGATATTCATATGTGGCTTGCACCATTTACACCTGGTGAAAATCATTTAATTTATATTACATTTGAACATCCAACAAAAATTGCTATGATTAGAATATGGGTAAGATTATGAAATATTTAAATTGATTTAGAAAATTAAAATCTATTGAAATAAAAAAAAGAAAAGTAATGCAAATTATTAACAGATTATTATTGCAAAAAAAAAATTCATTTACACCTGTAATTTTAATTAGAGTTTTTTAGTAATTTCAAAAAAAGGTGTCTTTTTTTGTGATTGTGAAATTACAAAAAAATATAATTATCATTGACAGAATAAAAATACTCACATTTAATTATAGATTTCATATGTGGAAAAAAATCTATTTACAGATGAATTGATTAATAAGCAATATTGCAAATTAGAATTCTATTTATTTTTTTAAACAATAAATCATAATCATTGATCGATTGAAAATTTTCTTAATCTAATCAAGTCCTACCTTACAAATAAAATATTAGCTTAAATAACAGAAGAATCAATTAAGATACTTTCCTCATGAGACAAAAGAAACTATATAAAATCTAACATGATCTCACTCAAAAAATATAGACAATCATACACTAATGTACATCATATTATTACAATAATATCTTGCTAGCATGAAAATAAGTAAAGTTGATGTTTTCCCTTTATACTTTATCACACTAATACTCTTGTGTAAGATTCTCTTGAAAAATTATGCATGAAATAATGATAAAGTATTATAATATTATTGAATTCATCCTATTTCATCTCAGTTAATAGTCACAGTTACTGAACATGTTAGCAAATTGAATCAAATTTAAAGTTTTCTATTACTATGATTGTGATTCTACGATCATCAATCAAGTAACTTGATTACTGATCAACATCAGAGGCATACATATCAAAATGATATTATGCTAATTAAAATACTTATTTTTAGAGACTGGGAAAGATTATCCCATCGACTTAAGAGAGTATCATATGAAATGATCTTTCTCATGCTGGTAGTTTACTCGATGACGTATTTTTGTTACTTACAAGAGAATATTTTCAATTGTCACATCGCTTTTTGAGTCGAGCGTATGCACGTCATGTAGATCCTCATGATCAATGAGTACTATGGAAAAAGTTCATGCTGCTTGCCGAGATATTGCTCTTTTTACTGTATGTTTAAGAAAAAAAAGCTGTGGTCCCCCTTAGGAACACTAGGAAAACTGTAGTTTCGAATTTCAACTTGAAACTTGTCATAGAGTCAGGCCTCAATGAGAATCGTTTATTGTGAAAGTTTCAGATCTTTTGATTGCTTCTAGTCTGAAATAAGAACATCGGAATTTGTTGGTGTATATAAGCGATTTTATCATAGCTATATCTTAGGATAGGAACAACGAAAAGATCTGAAACTTTCACAATAAACTATTCTCATTGCGGCCTATCTCTATGGAAAGTTATTCGAAACTTAATGTTCCTGAGAGGAACCACAGCTTTTTTTTCTTTAAAACATACAGTAAAAATGCAATATCTCAGCAGTAGTAAACTAGTGGCACGCACTTTTTTTTTGAAAGTATTCAAAGACCATTAGGTCCGACATGATGCGCATACATTCGACTCAAAAGCGATGTAACAGTTAGAAATATTCCCTCGTTAGATCTTGACTAATAACAGACATTCTTGCATTGCTATGTTCATAAAATTTTCTCAAAATCTTGGCCTTTGAATAATGATTATAACTGAAATATATGAAGAGTTTTGTACAGTTTCATATCCATAGTATTATTCTTATTTCTTTTTTAAGAATTACAATAAAAATCGTATTCATTCTGTACGTGGTGCTAAAGATGTTGAAATAAGTCTTGATGGTTTTATGATATTTAAAGGTGAAATAAGTCAAGCTTGTGGTAATATTATAGCTACAAATGATCCATCAGCCTATGGAGAAGTTTGTATTTTATTTTTTATTATTTATTATATTAAACTAAATTATATTTAAGACTATTTTATTTACAACTGATGATGAAATTCTTGAAAAAATATCAATTCATGATGAAATGTATGTTGATCAAGAAACTGCTCAAAATGATGAAGAAAATATACGAACAAATGCAAATCGACCACCAACTGCTGAAACTAATGTAAAAAAATTTATTTCTATTATATAATTCTTTCATTTATATATATAAAATAGATTCGACCAATGACACGTGCTATGTTACGACGACCATTTACAGCTATTCGTTCATTAAATGAAAGTCAAATATCAGAATATTATGGAAGAAGTATATCATCAAATGAAGAATTTCAAATATCAATTCTTTTCTTTTCTTTTTTATAGAATTAATTTTGACTATAACAGAAACATGGGGTGATAAACATTATTGTGGTTTAACAGGTATTGAAATTATTGATATAAATGATGTTGAATGTATAATACAATCATATGATGCACGTCCACGTGATATAACTGTTCTACCAGGAAATGCTAATGATGTTCGAACACTTGATAAGTAAAATAATAAAATGAAAATAATTCTGTTTCTATTTTTTTGACAAATTATTTTAGATTATTTGATGGTGAAAATCTTACTTGTGATAATCGTCATATGTGGTTATGTCCATTTCGAAAAAAAGAAAAAGTACGGATTTTTATATCATTAAATGGATCAAAACGATTACATGGTTTACGTATATGGAATTATAATAAATCATTAGATGATACATATCGAGGAGTAAGTTTAATAGATTTCTTTTTAAGAAAAAAAAATACATCATTGATTTATATGAATGTAGGTTAAACGACTTCATGTACAATTAAATGATAAGATTATTTCACCAAAACAAGGCTTTCTATTAAGACGTGCACCTGGTCATTGTTTTTTTGATTTTGCACAAGAAATTGTTTTTGCTCATGCTAAAACCATACATGATAATTTACAAAAAAAGTATTAACAAATTTTTTTTTTATCTTAAAGAAAAACAGTACATATAACTCAAATTTAAATAACCAATAGAGTTTTCTATCAAATGTTTTATAGATAAGCTATAAGTTTCTGGCAAACTATGAAAAGGAGATAATAGAAAATGCAGTAGTTGCTTAGTTTGTTCAGATTTAGTATAGAACAGAGGTCCAAACAGGCCACGCTTTTTAGATCTGCAGGGTCTGTCAAGCTTTTCGAGCGAGTACAATAATGATAACAGACTAAAAACCAGAGGTCCAAACAGGGCACTAGGACTATTGCTCAACCTGATTCTGACCCGCCTGCCATAGGCATCACCCATGGTTTTCAGACTAGTGCAAGTGACAGGTCAAAAATTGCTTGGACCTCTGACTTGCACTAGGCTGAAAACCATCGGTGATGCCAGGTCAGGATCAGGTTGAACAATAGCCCTAGTGCCCTGTTTGGATATCTGGCATAGAAAGCATTTGATAGAAAATTCCATTGACTATTTGAATTAGAGTTAAATGCTCGATATCAAAAATATGATTTTTTTATAGACAATCGTTGGCTACTAATCGTGACATTGAGTCAGATATATCAATGCCAAATGGATGTAAGTACAAAAGGTTTTATTACCGAATAAAAACGATTGTTTTTTTTTTTGTGCTTTACAAATTATTTTCATAGATGATAAAGATACTTAGCGAGGATACAAAATCTACCATAAAAAAAAAAGGGAAAATTTCTTCTGAAAGAAAATCATCTCTTACATGAGAAAAATCTCAAAATACATAAAGTATCATATTCATTTTTATCTATTATAAGATTTCTTCTTTAGAGATATCTAAAGTATACTCAGGTTTCTATATTAGTATAACGTTATCCATTATTTGCTTTCAATGTATACATTTTATGGTTGCAATGTATCAGTATATATTCCTATTGACTTAAATTATAGAATGTAATGATCGTATTGGAGTGTGAATGTCATCGAAAACAAAACTCTTATACCCACACTATATTAGGATATTACAAATAGAAAAAATTTGTAATTGATGTTCAAATATTAACAAAAATGAAAATGATTGTTCGAGATTATTTTTTAATCATTAGTATTTGATATTTGAAGAAACCTTTTTTTTATTTTTTTTTAAATAAGGAAAGAAAACATTGAATTATTATCATGTTTATTTAAATACTATTTGTAGTTATTTATGAATTTCAACTACATTCAACTCATGGTGATGCTTATTATATTGGATTAAATGGTTTAGAATTTTATGATGAACATGGTGAATTTATTGGTTTAACTGAACAAAGTATAAAATATTTGCAAAAAAAATAAAATAAATATATAATTTTATTTTGTTTTTTTTTAATAGATATTGCTGCTTATCCTCATAGTGTAAATAGTCTTAATTCAGGTACAGACAATGATAATGATGTTCGTACACCAGATAAATTAATTGATGGTGAAAATGATGAAATTGATGGTACACATTGTTGGATTGCACCTATTTTAGCTAATGTTGTATGTAGATTGAATGAAAAATTTTTTTTTGAAATATTAAAAAAAAAAATTCTTTTATTTTTATTTTAAGATAAATCGAATATTTGTTATTTTTGATCGACCAACATCTGTATCTATGATAAAAATATGGAATTATGCTAAAACTCCTAATCGTGGTGTTAGAGAATTTTCTGTATGTATAAATATTTTTTGTTTCTGATAAACATTAAAATTATGATTTATTTATTAGTTACTTGTTGATGATTTACTTGTATGGACAGGTATATTAGATAAAATAGATGAAAAACAAGTGCCTTTTAATACAATTCTATTTTCTGATGAAAGAATTCTTACTGAACATGAAAAACAAAGTGTCTTAGAGTATATAGATATAATTTGTAGTTTTCAAATATTCATCATACTTTTTATTTTAGAAATAAAGGCTCACCAGATAATATTTCCAGTCAAACATCAAATAGAGATCAAACTGTTGATTATTGTAAGATATTTTCATAAGTTATCTATTACTTCAATTGCTAAGAATTAAATTTCAGAAAAAAAAAACAAACATTTCTAAAGCCTTTTCTTTTTTTTGCAAGAAGAAATGATAGTACATTGAATGATTTGTTTATATTTTGAAATTTCTTATCATTTTTTGTTTTTTTCAGCCCAACGTCCAACAACATCCGTTCCACGTAATAACAAACGACGCTAAATTTATAAAACATATATATATATATATTTCGTGTCGTCCGTCAGATTATTTTATTTAATTATTTATCTATTAATCATTCATTTATAATTTGCAAAAAAACAAAAAAATAAAATAAAACATCAAAAACAAAAACAAAGTCTAAGTACTGTTCTTATTATTAGGAATACATACATATATATATATAACAAGAAAACAAAATTTCACTGGGACAAAATCTGACTGAAAGAATTTTCTTTTTTTTTATGAAAACAAAATATTTTATTTATTCAATGTATTGCATATAGTTGAAAGATTTGAAGTTGATGTTGGCATCATATAACCACGTGGACGAACTAAATATGTTGTCATATTACCTTTACCTTTAACATAAATTGGTCCACGACATTCACATGGATAACCATGTTCAAATAAAACTCGTTGTGTTTCTTCTGGAACCTAAATATAATTGTAATTCATTTTATTTAATAAACAAACAAAATAGTTTTTGTTAATTTACATGTATACAACTAACCACACCAGTACTATCCATACGTGAAGCAACATTTACTGTATTACCCCATATATCATATTGAGGTTTTTTTGCACCAACAATACCTGAAATATGGTCGAATGAAAATGATTGAAAAAGAAAAAATACATTTTGTATTAATAGCGAAATATTCGTAATAAAGATTTTATAATCTATTGATTGATTATCTTTATATATATTTTTATCATTGTTAGATATGTGTATGAAATCTTCATTACTATCCTATATCTATAAAATCAGGAATTCTAGTTAGGATGCATCAATTTCATTATTATACATGGTGACCCGTAATTGTGAAAAATCTTTGCGTAGATGCGGTACTTTTATCTTAACTATGCATAATTGTGAGTCTTCCGTCATAATTATGCATAGTTAAGATAAAAGCATCACATTTACGGATAGTTATACCGTCTTTTTTGAAATTATAGGTTACTGAATGATAGCAGTATGACCGTAACTACGCTAAAAATCGAATACCTATAAAGACAATGTGATTTTCAATTAGATATGCATATTACTAAGTTTAAGCTTCCGCCACGGCTGGTTACAGACTAATCTTGAGTAAATTATTCACGACTATTTCCTTAAATCATTCACCTGTTAACATAATCACTACATTTTGACATATTTTTGCTTCTCCAATCAGTCCCCGCAATCTATTTTCTGGATACGATTTGTATGTTGATCGTTGGTGTACTTAGGGTTGACTAAAAGTTCTGATTACGGTGTTTAAAGGACCTTGTCGGATAAGATAATCTATTCAGAAAAGAAAAACTAAATATATCATGTTGTAGAGCTTTTTTGCGGCGCGTCGAATGGGATATAGTAAATCCTATTTTCATACGATTTTGAAGGAACTAGAGTCAATTTACTGATAGATAACTGTACACTAACACCTAAGCATAATAGGCTACTCAATATTGTGGTCCTTGATATTAGTCGCAAGTATTTGTAAAATATTTTTTTCTCATATGCGACGTTGTAAAGTTTTTGACGGGCTGCAATATCATATAAGTAGCATCTCCGCTTATCTTGTCGGTGTGGATATCGGTGAGTGTACAGTTGTCTATCAGTAAATTGACTCTAGTTTCTTCAAGGAGTTATGAAAATAGGATTTACTATATACCATTCAATGCGCCGCAAAAAGCTCTACAACATGGTATCTTTGGTTTTCGCTTTCTAAATAGATTACCTTACCCGACAAGGTCTTTTAAACATCGTGGTCAGAACTTTTGGTCAGTCCTAAGTAAATAGGAAACTTTGCACCAGACTGGTCTTCTTTTTATCCGCAGTTATAATTCGATAAATATTAAGCAGATAAATAAACATTTCTGAATCCTATCAACTATAGAAAAAATATCGGACTTGTCAAAAACCGAAACATAATCGTTTTGAGCTTAAACTTCATTATTAAAAATGAAACATATCGAAATAATCATTTTAAAAAATTCAATTAATTCATTTACCAGCAACAAGAGGACCATTACACATGCCAACACGTAATTTAAAATCATTGAAACAATCTCGATTAATTCCTTCAAGTGCTGCAATCATTGCAAAAGCAAATTCAGCAAGTGCAACAATATTTTGATTATATCGTTCTCTTGTCTAGATAAAAAATACGAATTAAAAAGACAAATTATAAAAAAAAAGAAAAATTGCTTTTTCTCCATACCATTCGATGTTCAACACCTGGATTAAGACCAGCTGCTGCCATATAAGTATGACCAATAGTTTTTATTTTTTCTACACAACTAAATTTATTTTTATCTAATAACTAAAAATGAAAGAAAAATAAGATAAATAAAGAAAATTTTCGTTTATTAATACAAACTTTATCAAATTCTGCAATGATTTCATTAAGTAATCTTAAACATTCTAATCCATCATTATTTACATCCGATTGAACATAAAATTCTTTAAAATTAGGTATTGATGCAAACATAACAACAACATTATCATAACTTTCATGATAAAGACCCTAAAAAAAAACAAATTTTATTTAGATATCAAAAATTCTTATTATTTAATTATTTTTAAATAAATAAGAACAGACAACTATAAGATTGCAATTACAGAACGAACCACTTTCAAAAGCTTCTCCACACATATGACTAGTTAAGACAGAAAGCCGGCTTGACGCATAGTTCTTGCGCTCTATTACTTGAGTTTCCCATCGTGACTAACAAACTACAAGGAGGGTCATTTCATAGTTGATAGTACTAAGCTTCGAACGGAGTACCTTGTAGATACGTATTGAACTACGTAACCACTCAATCATGGCTGCTCCGGACTTTCAGAGAAAGACCTTTACTATCAGAGATATGCACCGCGCCTACGAGTTTCTTAAAAAATAGTGCTTCATTTTTGTGCACTTACCTAGAAAGAACAACATCACTTTGAAAGCTGTTAGTGCAATTCCTCCGGGATTAAAAATGTGAAACACGATGTAGCTGTTCTTTCTAATCATTTTCAAACTGTTTATTTCCACCAATTTTTCGAGGCACTGATTCACAACTGTTTACTTAATCCTCTACAACTAATTTAAGAAACTAGTACATCGATTTCAAGAACAAGCTATTGATATACGGCTTTTAATCGCATATCAACAATGCCGTGATCCCTTCGGAGCCCATCTGTAACGGTCTGGGTGATGGAGAGTGAGTGCAAAATTTCTACCCTATACACTTCAACATTCCTTTAAGATCGTGTTTCACAAAAATATCACGGAAGAATATTTTATTAGGAGAAATATAATTGAAGATAGATATTTATACTAGCAGGCTGTTCGTTTTCATCTTAACTTATTTTATAATTAAATTTGCGCAAGCTTCAGTTCAAAGTGAATAAAATTGATTACGATCTTATTTATAAATTTAACAAATGAGTATAAGATAGAGTAATAAAACAAAAAGTTTGTCAACGCTTTTAAGTTTCTTCTCTTAACTTTGGTCCGATAATATTAATTGAAGTTCTATTGAATGAAATAGATTTATGTTACCTGACTCATATTTTCTTTAATAATAATTTCTGCCACATGTTTGGGTAAAATATTTTCTAATAATAATCGACTAATTGTGCTCACTGTTTCAACTTCATGTTTTTCATTTTGAAACTTAATTGTCCATAATAAATCCAGTCGACTCATATATTCATACTGAAAACAAAAAAGTGTGTACTTCAAGTTGGTTCTGCTTCTTTTTTTTTCATTTATAGTACAAACTATTAAATTTACCCGTCGATCAAGTCCAATTAATAAAAGAATAAAAAAAATAACTTCAAATGTTGTTTCAATAAGTATTGTACTACTTGCCATACCATAATTGTCAGCAATAATATTATAAATATTTGAATAATATGAATAAAATACATAAATAGTTACAATTAAAATCATAATTAATGCTTTAAGTAAAAAATAAAGATGCATAAATGAAGAAACAGTTAATAAAGCAAGTTGAATAAGTAATATATGAAATTCAAAATGAGGACATAATTCAAATAATAGAGAATTTGTTAAATATGATGCCATATTAATTGTATGAACTGGTACAACAATTGTCTAAGATTCAAAAAAAAAACAAAAAAGAGACGATCATAAATAATTCATTGATATTATTCTTTTAGAATTTAAATGTGAAATATAATGAAAATACTTTAATCAGAAATCAAGATTGACCAATTTGAATTTAATCTATTGAAAAATCTTCTTCATCTTTAAGAAAAAAAAAACCTTTGTTTAATTACTAAAATGTCATTTTTTTTCTTACGATTATAAGCTTATCGTACTTTTCATAAATAATAGCCACTGAAAATTTCAGCCGTACCGATACAAAAATAAAGAATTGACTTTGAAAAATATTCGAAATCCACGAATTAGTTTTCAGATATATTTTTATTTAATCTCTTATCATGATTAATAAATTTCAAAGATGATATTATTTAGTCAAAAAATTTTTTGATTGTAAAAGATTCAAATATCTTTCATTGAATACTAAAATTTCCTATCAATTTGATAGAATGAGAAACAAGTATTAAAGGTCTAATCAAGTCTCATGACTAGCAGCGTAACCAGAGTTTTGGCGATGGTAGGACTCAGCAACGCTTAAATATCCGGTGGTAGGGCTCAGGTTACTGAGATCTGTGGGGTGGTAGAGCTTGTGAAAGGATTCAGCTGACGATGCTAACACCGGTGGTAGGGCTGAGCCCTACCTTGGTTACGCCACTACTCCTGACTTTACTGTATATCTATAAATAAAATTTTACTTGATTAAAACGATTTTGTGCAAATGAAAGATTTGATGATGAGAGTAATATATCACTATTTATTGCTGTTGTTGTATTTTCAAATGGTTCAATAAAATCAATTGGTGATGACCATATTACAGCAAATGGTGTTAAAATACAAATTATAATTAATATAAGACTAGCAGGTAAACGAACAAAATAATAATGTGTTACTAAATAAACTGAT